ACGAAGGAAAAGAAAATGAGGGGGGTGGGTGGGGTTGAGGAAGTTCAGCAAAACCAACCAATCTATTCAAATGTCTGACATTCTAGTAAGTATTCTACATCAATTTACCACCACTTACTCAAAGAGCCACAGATAGGTGTCTTCTTCTTATCTCTGTTTTTTGGGACCAAGATGGTTAAATGTCAATTATTTTGTGGTTGTCATTTCTGTTTCCATTACTATATTGTTGTCATGGTTCCAATACTTACTTCACATCTGTTCACATAAGTTTATTCATACCTCTTCATTCATTATATTCATTGTTTCTTACCGTATATCAATGTTTGATGACCTTCATATACTGCAATTTATTTAGCAATTCTCTAATCAATATGAATCTCTTTTTTTGGTTCTTTTCTACCAGAAAAATGCTACTATACATATTTTGGTGCGTGTAGGTCCTTTCTTGGGACATATACCTAGCAGTGGAATATCTGGGTCAAAGGATACAGACATTTTAGTCAGTCTCTTTGAATAATTCCAAATTGCTTTGTAGGATGGTTGGACCAATTCATAGCTCTACAAATAATTAATTAAGATGCTTATCTTTGCACAATCTCTTCAACATTGACTATTCTCATCTTTTGTTATTTTTGACAACTTGTTCAATATGAGGTAAAACTTCAATTTTATTTTAATTTGTATTTCTTTCATTGTTAATGTTTTGGAATGTTCCTTCCTATGCTTGACATTAATTTGCAATCATTCATTATTTGTTTGTTTGTTTTGGCTAGGCAGTGGGGTTAAGTGACTTGCCCACAGTCACACAGCTAGTAAGTGTTATGAGTCTGAGGCCTGATTTGAACTCAGCTCTTCCTGACTCTAGGGCCAGTGCTCTATCCACTGAGCCACCGAGCTGCCCCTGCAATCATTCTTTTGGGAAGGAATTGTTCATATGCTTTATTTATCTATCATGGAATGGCTTTTGGTCTCACATATTTATAGTTTTCTTTTTTATATCTTGGATGTTGCATTGTTATCAGAAATATTTGATACAGATATTTTTCTGAGGCAATTATTTCCTTTCTTGTTACATTATTTTTGCTCATGCAATGGCTTTTCACTTTCTTATAATTGAAATTATCTATTGTATGTTTTGTATTTGTCTTCATCCCTTGTTTGCCTGAGAATTTATCCTTTAGTTATAGCTTTGGAAGATATATAATCGAGTTTTTTTCTCATTTTTTTACAGGTATGGTCTTTAATGTTCAGGTCATATATGCATTTAGGGTTTATTGTAGTGAATGGTATAAGAGCTAATTTTTTTTTTCAGTAGTACTTTATGAATTCTGGTTTGTTTGGGCTCCCTGCGTCCTGTGGCAGTGGCCTGGAACTCAAATTATATGGTTGTTAAAATTGCATTAAAATGCATTTAAATTTCTAGTAAAACTATATTTTTCTACACAAAAGCATGTGAATCAGATTGTGCAATTATAAAACCTCTCATTTACTTAGTCTCCAAGCTTTTAAATGACTTTCCTAAACTTAGGGACAAAGAGTTATGTTGTATGTCTTCTGAGTATAAAGTCTACAAGTAATCTGATAATACTACTCAAACTATAATATTTATATCTCTCTTCTATTCTGTCTCACTAATCCATGTGCTCAAAGTCTACCTTCATGAGGTGACCTTGATGAATGCCTAAAATGCCCTTTCTTTTCAATTTGCATAAACCGAACAAAATTATTATCCTGTCTGCACTATACACTTCTCCATTATCAACTCAGACCACATTGCATTGTCACCAAGAAAACTATTCTCATTCATTCTCTCTCTCTTTCATCTCTCTATAATTTTATATGTCTACACGTCCATAATTTATGGATATATAGATATATATATATACTGACATTTATCTTACTCTCTTTTGTTAAAAAAAAAGTTTCATACATGTATGACTGGTTTTTCTTCCAAATGACACTATCAGATCCTTATAGATGTGGGGTCCAAAATTGTCCAATTCTACAATAAAAGAAGCTGAGGCAGAGCTCTGAGCCAATAGTACTTTATGAAAGGGTCCATGGCCCCCTCTAATGAAGTGGACTTCAGATTTTCCTCATGATCTAAAATGTTCTTTTTCTCCAGTGCCTGAGTTTTATAGTACTTGATACCCAAACACAAGAAGAGGCAAAGTAAAATACAAAGTCTCATAGGGTGATAAACCTTGATTTTGACCCTCCAGAAGGGCAAGAAACGATGTATCAGCAGAGCTGGTCATAGGATGGACAAGGCAGGTGTAATCTCCTCTAAGTGATCATAAGATGGGCCCCTCCTCATGTTGAGTAAGGGAGAGTGGTCTGGAGGCACAAAAATAAGGTGGGGGACTTTACATATCATGTCAAGACATTCCACCCACACTAGGTTTGGTCACATATTCATCATTCAAAAGAGTGGAGGTTCTCTAGTCAACATTCTTGTGGTTAGGCAAGTGAACTTTATAACAGGTTAGTGAACTGTGAATTATAGCTTAACAAACTAGTGAACTTCTACCATGTAGTTTGAAGTTTGGGGCCTATTATAAGACAGAATCTGTCTTATCTAATTATACTTAAATATGACATATGTAAAAGATACATTAATATATGTAATTCCTATACTAATATTAATTGACTAGATTGACTGTATTAATAGATAAGCATATCACTAATAATCACTAACTCTATGGAATCACACTAAACTAATTAACACTGATTGGAATGAGATAGGGGCACAATAAATCATTCCTCTCATACTGAAGATTGACTTCATAGTAAGTATTCAATAATTACTAGTATGAATATAATCTTTTCAAACATTATTTCTCCTATCTTCATCAAACCCTTCTATCTTCATCTTTTATACCAGAAACCCAATATCATGCAAAACAAACAAACAAACAAATGAAAAACCTTTCCTACCATAAAAATGGAATGGAAATATGGGATTGGCTTTTGGTAGTTGTGGCATAATATGGCAGCAGCAGCATGGTATAGTAGGAAAAGCACAGTCTTGAAATTTATGACCTAGATTTAAATCTTTGCCATTATGGGAAAATCACTTAATCTTATCACTTATCTAAGCCTCACTTCCCTCATCAGTTAAATGAGTATAAAAATGACTTATACTATCTACCTCAGCTCAAAGTTGTTATGAGAAATGTGTTTTGTATTTAAAGCATGTTATCAATATGGGTTATTATCATAGAGTTGTAGTTATATTTGCAGAAAGCTACTGGGTTCAAAGTATTTTTGTACCCTGACATATATAGCATGCTCACAATTAGTTTGCTTGCATATTTGTTATTGATGGGTACTCTGAAAGAAGGTAGCAGTTTTATAATGGCCTTAGGTAGAACTGGGTGCTCTACAGTCCTCCTTCCATTGACATGTCCTGAATCCCAACGAGGTGAGGTCTTTTGCTGGGGGTCTGAGATACACAAATTAGGATTCCTGATAAAGTAAAAGCACCTGCTTCCTTGTTAGGATTTTTCACTTAAATAAATTTTTTAGACAAAGTATTATTTACATGTGACTGGTCTTGAGATCAACTCAGTCCAGATTATGTGTGCTTCATAAAGTCTTTGCTGGGGGTCTAAGTACCAAGGATACTCTCAAACTCAGAAAATTCACTGAGACAGGGAAAAACTGTAATGTCTGCCAACTACAGTAATGGGGAGTTTCTAAGACATTATCTATGAGGTTTCTTCCTCATGTCTCAAAGGCATTTTCCATGGGCAAAGCCACATGTTCTATAGCTACTTCCATAATAAGCCTTTGGAAGGGGATTCTGTTTGTGACTGCCAGACCATTTCAACTACAATAGCCTTAAAACCATTCAGTTGGGAACCTCTATTATGCACCTTTCATTTAAATTTGGTGTTCTTCTTGTGCATGACATTTTTCTTGATGCTCACTGTCTCATAAATGGTAACCTTTCAGGTCTTGTCTTTACCAACTCAAAGGTTTATAAATAAGGTAACCAAGGCAATTTAATACCTTCTTTCCCTCAGAGCCTTAGGTAGGGTAGAACACAGTGTTCTAAAAGTCTTTTCAGAGAGCTTTAATCCTATTCTTCCATTGAGTGGAAAAAGGTGGGATTAGGGGGAATAATAGCTTAATGTAAATGAATAGAATTTAAACATTTTATGTGGAAAATGTGTGTATATACATGGAGTATATATTTTATGTGGCATATATATGTAAGTAATAAATATTTCTGAACTTAAATAAATATTACATTGATGATATTTTAAAAATAAAATGTACTATTTACTGTTTGCTATTGCAATTACTATGGCAAACTCTTAATAAATTGAAGCTACTTTTACATAAGATAGTTGATTGAAGCAACAATGCATATGAAGAGAAGACTTGGAGATTGAGGTATAAAGAATCATAGATTTACAGATAGAAGGAGCTTAGAGATCTCTGCCCCTACTTGAGTGTGTTATGACAAGATTTTACATATAAAATTACATGCTGCCTAGGAAAGAGAGCTATAGGACATCAGAAATCTTAGCTAAGAAGCCCATTATATGCAAATTATGTCAATCAGTATATTCATCCTGTAAATTTCCATTTTAATACTTTTCATCACGAGAAATATAATCTACAACTACTTATAATCACCTTAAAACTTCTTAAATCAGCCTTACAGGTTTCTCTTACTTTACTATTCTGTGAATTTAAAGAAAAAGTCTAATAAAAGTCCAATTACTAAACATAGTTTCCTTATTGTGCTAAAATGTTGGATTATCTCTTCTTTAGAAAAATGCAACATTTGTTCTCTTCACAATACATATGAAGAATTTCACAAAGAATTGCTTACAATTATCACTGTGGAGTTTTTTGTTTTTGTTTTTAAATGCCCTAAGCTAGGAATCACACATAATTATATATATTTTAAATGATGCCATTTAAAATGTACTAATGCTGGATTATGATTGCTGTAAGTATAACTATGATGTTTCTTTAAAATTCAGGTTGTTCTCAAGTCTAAGTATTATCACAGAACTCACTCATCCAGCCAACATGAGATTTATGCAATTCCGGGCCAAAGACTGTTACTCTCTTGCTCTTTCCAAACTGGAAAAGGTGAGATTAAGTGTTATTATTTGAAAGTGTGGTTTAGCCAATTTGCTTCACAGTTGAATTGAAGAACTAAATATTTTTCAATGTTTTCCCCTCTTCAAAGCAAAGTTCTCTACTGTTAGGAATGGAATGGTACATAGTTTTAAGAATTAATGTTTCTCCTGAACATAGACTTTTCTGAATTTTCTTGATACAGCTTCTAATTTATAGTATTGCCTATGTGGTTTAGAAATAGCTTCCTTACTTAAAAAAAATGAGAATCCATAAATATTAGCCATTTAAAGCATTATTAAATAATAAATAAAAGAATAGTTCTGGAATGTAAGTTTCTTGAGGGCAAGGATTTATTCTTTGTATTCCCAGTGCTTATCATTGTTCCTTAAATATAGTAGTCATTTAATAAAAGTTTGTTGAATCAAATTTTTAATTAATTTTTTAAAATCTGCATGTTATAAAATACATATATTTCATTAAATTTGAGATTAGAAAAAATATGACAAAATACATATTGATGATATAATGTACTGAACAGTTCAATGCTTTCAAATAATTTCATATATATGGTGTCACATTAATGGATAGAACAATATCCTCAGAAAGTTATAAATGACTTATCCAATGTCATTTGATTAACAAACAGTAAATTCAGTATTAGAACTCAAATATTGTGACCCTCAATCTGTACTCTTCATCATACAAAAGTCATTGCATGACCAATTTTGGAGGACTAACAACAACAACAATAAAGCATATAAATTGATAATAGTAATAACTGTCCAGTTCAGTGTCTGGAAGAAAAATGAGAATCCATAAATATTAGCCATTTAAAGCATTATTGAATAATAAATAAAGGAATAGTTCTGGAATGTAAATTTCTTGAGGGCAAGGATTTATCAGACTAATCCCATCAGATAAGGATCACTACAATTTAGGAGCTGAGGTGGTTTTTTTTAACCCACCTCATTAAAATGCTACCAATCAGGATTTTAATGATGTAATGTCAGGCCAATCAGAAGAAGACACACTTATGGTGCTCCGGATTTTGTGCTATCATTTTATAAAACTAAATTGCCTTCCTTTCTTATGGTCTTTTAGCTTAATTGAAGTAGTCATTTTGACTCACTTTGTTAACACATTAGCTTACTCTGTTAAACCTATAAAGTTTGGAAATCTGAACCTTATTTTACTACCTTTATTAATTCCCTCTTTCATGCTTGGAACTCAATTTCCTCCTTTCCTGTCTTCTTCTCCTCTCTTCTCTCCTTCTTCTGTCCACAAGGGTATCATACCCTTACCCGTGGATGCTCTGCCCAAAGGACTGTAAATTTTGATCACTGAAACCTCACCAGAATGGGAGGAAAGATCTTAGCTTAAAGAGGCTAAGATCTCCCACTACCTCTGGTGCCATTTCCAATTGCTCTGAACCAGATGGCTCCAGAGGAGAAAGTGAGGCTGATGATTGTACAGCCCTGCCTCACTTAAATCCAATTCACTTGTAAGTCATGGCATCACTTTCCTGGTGTCATGGCCCTCTTTGAGAAGAGAAGGAAGAATAAACAACAAACATACAAAGTGGTTGATGGTCTCCTCACTGTTGGGGTAGCCATCTCAGTATTGTCTGTTCTAATTATTTCTTAATGTTTTTCTACATTAAAAAAAAATCATTAGTGGCAGATATTTTTTCCAAACTTTTTCTTGACTCTCCAGACATCAGAAAAAGGAATTTTATGCTAGATAAAACCATAGAGAAATTTAGAAAAGAGAGACTCCCCAATAAGGCAATATCCTTTATTAATTGACAATAGAAAACTTGAATACTTAGAGTTCTCATTCAGGGTCCCCTCACCAACAGAGTATATGAGCCTGAAGAAAGAGCACAATGCAACTTGTAGGCTTCTTTTTAGGTTTGACCTAATTGTAGGGATATTCTGCTATTTCAATGATTGTCCACAAACATCTACTCTGCGTCATTCAAGAAGCAGTAAATGTTGATTCTGCCCAGGCATGTGAAGTAAAGGAAGATTATAAAGGAAGTATGCTGAGTGCTGAATTTTAGCTACTTTTGATTGAGGTTCAGTCCTAGAGCTAATTATGGCCCAAGACTGAAGATGTTCTGCCTCTTAATTCACCTACCCTCTTCACCTTACAAGAAGCAAAATATTGACTATGCCTAGCCCTGTGAAGGATGGGAGAAAGCAGGAAAGAAGGGAATCAGGAGGTATGTCAGTGATGGGAGAACTATTTTGAATCAGGGCTAAAGGGATGGAAACTCAGCTAGGATCAGGTTTTTCCCTCCAGGGGTTACTCAGAGCTTAGAGTCATATTGGTGAACCCTACCAAAACACTCTTGTAGCCCAGCTTTGGGGGAGGAGCATTCTGTTCACCAATAGAAAAAGGGGAGCCTGAAAATGAGTGAAGATATAATAAAAAAGTAAATGAAAAGGCTTATCCAAAAAGATACAAAGCCTATGTATAAGGGGATAATTCAACAGAGCAGATACTAAATAATATAAAGAAGAAGAAAAACATCAAAGAGAATACAAAGCTTTCAGGAAAGACACCTTTGCTACATGTGCAAATTCATGTCACAAAGTTTTTATGGAGATTAAAAAGTAGCCATATGGGCCAATAGTTAGAGATACCATCTCAATCACTTATTTTTTCAAACTAATAATTCTAAGCATTTAGTTTTTCCCCCTCTTTGAGATAATTTATGAATTGTACTTTTAAGATCCCTAAAAATGCGTTGTCTTCAGAACAGACTTCCCTTTATACTGAACTAGCCCAGTTTCTTTTCCTTTTTTCTTTGGTGTTATTTCTAGTATTTAGTATCAATGGCAATTGTGATGTTAAAGCTAGTCCAAATGCAGTGACTCTATACTTAAGATAGAAAAGTTTGTTAAGAAATCTTGATGAAGCTTTCAATATTTTAGTTTGTTATCTTTCCAGTTTTACCCTTACATGCTCTCTTGAAAATCTGACACTATTAGATCCTTTTCCAAACCTTTTATAAACTTCCTTCCCCCCTCCATTATTTCTCACTGGTTTAGGAGGCAATATTTCTCACAATCTTCTCCCATCTTCTGATAAATTTTCTGAGTAACTTTGTATTCTCAATTGGTTTGGCCCCTGGCTATGGTATCTCTTTACGTGTCAAGAAGACCAAATGTTTTCTTGTGAATAGAATTTACAGTGTGTGTGTGTGTGTGTGTGTGTGTGTGTTGATTGAAAGTGAAAAATCACATTAACTGTGATGGACTAAGAAGTGTTCGTTGTTTGACACTACCTACAAGGTTAAAAGATAGTGGGCCAGATTTCTTTGGATAGCAAACCAAACATCCTTGAAAGAGATCTTGGTGATATAAAGATACAAGACCAGACTTCCTTGTATCTGCTCATATTCTCCAAGGATAGCAGATTTCCTTGAGGCAAGAATAGAACACTGATTAGAAAAATTGTGGGGTGTTTGTGACCCCTAAAATTATCAAATCAGAGACTTTTTCTTAAGAAAGTCAAAAAGGAGTTTTATTGCTTTCTCATGAAAAAGGACACACCCAGCATTTGCTCAAGATGGCTCCAGCCAGGGTGTAGAGGGAGTGTAGCTCAAAGTCAGTTTATGTAGAACTCCCACCCTCCCATTAGCTCCTCTTCCCATTGGCTGGGCTTCAGAGCTCACAGTCGTAGCATGGAAACTTTTCCCCAGCAACAAGGTTTGCAAAAAGTTGTGAAACAAGGAACTGTTGGTTCAGCAGGAAAGTAAGAAAAAAAAAAAGGATGGGAGAGCCGGAAAGCCGGGACAAACAAGATACTTTCAGGGACGTCACCTGATGTACTCCTTATCTTGTTTACATATTTGTGTAAACCAATAAACCCAGAAATCAATTACTCAATAACCTAATCTCTCCCTGTCCTGTTTTCTTATCAATTCTGTTAGCATTATCAAACTGTTAGCATTCCTCACAATTCCCCCCATTTTTTCTTTAATAAGGATTTGGTTCCCACACCTTCCCAATTTCCTTATCCTCTAATTTCGTTAACATGATTTTGAATTCTCCATCACTGTGGAAAGTCTCATTGGTACTTTCAATCATCATCTTTATATTGCCAGAGCCTGCCCTCTGAACTCCCATTGTGGGTCCTACTGGGATAATCTTTAGTGAGATTATCAATCATTGACTAGTCCCTTATTGCATGGAACTATACAACATCCTACAGCAGTTAATATTCTAACCATCCCTTTAATTAATTATCTATCTAAGAGTTCTCTGCCAACTCAGCTAAAGTGGTTAAACCTTGCAATGCCTTAGTGATGGTTCTATCTGGGGCTGTGCTACTGGGCAACATTTCATCAGGGGATTTTGGGGACTTAAAATAATATGGGAGAAAGTGAACGACACGTTGACATATTAAAAAGGGGTCAGTCCCCTTATTAAGTACAGATACAGAGACCCAAAAGTAATGATAAATTGTCTGTTTAAAGCTTCAAAAGTCTCTTCTCATACAACTGTCTGACATTCTGGACATCATCTGGTGAAGTCCTCTGGTCCAAGTGCCATTCAAACAGTGTACAACAGACTCGCCTCCCGCAGAGATCCTCCTTCTTGTGTCCTCTCTCTCCTACAAGGTTGATCTTAACACAATTTTAAATTATCTTGCCAATAACCAGGGTAAATAATGAAAGTTAACTCAACTCCCATGTCTCCACTATTACAAAGTCAAAATTGGAACCTTGGCCAATTGTCATATTTTAAGAAACTCAAATTAGAAAAATTAGAACATAGCCTTACACTCTGAATTACTTCTAGTTCCATACCTTGCATTAGTTCATTATTCATTCCTATTCATATTCCCCATCAGGAGGATGAGATTCCACTAAGGAATTACTAACACACTCCAATATATAGTAGTTAATTTAAAACCAGTGCATATCAAATACTAAAACAGTCCCAACTTCTGGTCATGTACAAATAAATAATCCTTAATTAAAATGCATGCTTCTTTCA